AATATATACAAATTAATCGAATGGAGCCCTACACTGCTGTAAAAAATAAAATGTTTCATAAATCCGAGCTTTCACCGATCAACGGCATCATCAGGGATAAGAAAATATTCCGGGAACGTTAATTATCTTTTACTCCCTTTGTTTATACGGTCCATCATTAGAGCCTTTATTATGTTCCATTCACAGTTTATTTCAATAGCTTTCACACACAGTCAAGTCTTTCACACACTTCACCACACACTCTTTTTACACACACATATAAATATATATATATAGCGCTCCCAGAATAATTTCTTATCCCTGATGATGCCGTTGTTCGGCGAAAGCTCGGATTTATGAAAAATTTTACTTTTTAGAGCAGTATAAGGCTTCATTCGATTAATTTGTATTTATTTTAACTGTTTACCAATTGGTAAATCTATTTTTTCGGTTTGTTATCTTTTTTAAATAGGAATTTCATCAAATACTCATATATATCTTTCATGTTTAATTTTTCTTTTGTTTCTTCTTGGTTTTAGATTTCATGTTTACTGGCTAGGGTTGAAAACACAAATTCAGAGAATTGTGACATTGTTAATTTTTAATCACATCCTCTGTAAGACAGACGTTGGGCGCTCCACTATTTAGATGTAGACGTTCTTTGTTTTGTTGAATTTAGTTTATCAAGACGTTAAGAGCAAAATCGTTAATTTACAGTTGAACGATATCTCGTGGTTCACAAAATTGTTAATTTTTAATGATATCTTTTGTATGACAGATGTTGGGCCGACCACCCGCTGTCTTATTGTATCTAGTTTATTGAGATTCCAATAGCGATATCTTTAGTTTTAGCTTCTCTTTCGAAGCAGTAACTTCCGTATTTTTTATCTTGCTATATAGGACCTCTTTAGCCGGATTACACAAAACGTTGTTTAGTCCTATTCGCCGTCTGTACTCGAATTTCGCAAGCTCTTGCGAAGGATCTGAAAGGTGCCTCACATACGGTAGGTACACTCTCATGATCTATATTATTGTGAGAAGTTTCCAACGGTCATGGTGCGCTGAGTTTGGCTGCACCAGCCAGCGAGTATTCCTTACAATCTTCATTGTATTGTTACCCGCGTTTTGGCAATAAAATGATAAATCACAATCTAAGCCTTTAGCATTGAGTTTATTTCAATCAAATATTGGTTACCTCGTTATTTCATTAGAAAACCATGCTGCTGTGTTATTTTGTCCTGTTCATCGTCATATGGCATGTACAGCTAAGCCAAGTCAGTGGGCAGTGCCATTGCGATCTCATATTCATACCAAAAAAACGCAATTTACTAATCTATCATCTGACCAACTGAATTTCATGCGATCAGGAGTCATCAAATCAATTACTTGCAGGTTCCTGCAAATTAAATCAAAGCAACTCTCTACCTAGTTTCATAATCAGGAGCAGTTTATTATCTTGGTACAATGATAATCTCGCTTTATTTGTGTACTTTTCTTAATCTACATGCTTTGTTTGTCTATTTTCTGTTGTTTTCCGCACACGGCAATGGATCTCTTACTTTTATCAATTTATCACCTGGGCTGCGAATGGTTAAATAACCGACTTGTTTTTCTTACAATTAAACTTTTCAAACTCTCCATTTCTTTAGGAGAAAACCTAACCATATTGACCTTTAACTCTCTCTCTTTCGGCAATGATTTTCCACATGATACACAGTTTGTCGCTGTTTGGTTATTTCTATAATGTTTTTTTTTTTAATGTTTACATAGAGGCCTGTCCCAATTGTGCTCGGCAGCTTTTTAGCAACTTTTGGCGTTTAAGGCAACTTTCTGCGGACACAGCAACCTCGAGAAGTCTTTGCCTTTCAGAGCAGTTTTTGAGAAAAATGTATGTTTGGGTCAAGCACGAAAAAGTCAACGATTTCATGGAAAACTTCACGTTATGCAAATTATTTGAATGTTTATCAGCCTTTTAAACACATAACCTGTCCTTGACAACGGTTCGCGATCTTGATCTTATAATGATGAGTAATCAGCAAAAATGAGTCGAAATGAACCATGTGTTTTGTTGCGTTGGTCTTAAATTTCATCCATATTAGCGAGCAACTCTTCTTTTTTTTTGCCTTTTATTCTATCAATAAATACGGAGGCTTATAAATTAGTTTTTTTATATCATTCTTCCCTTTTTTTATTTCTGTTCTAAGAATCTTTATTTTTATAGTTTTTTNTTTTTTTATGTCCACTGATCGAGGTTGAAAATACAAATTCAAAGAGTCATGCGAAATCACGTGGTTAATGATATTTCCAGTTTTCAATGACATAGTTTGTTTGACAGCTGTCAAGAAGTCTACCAGACAGAGGATACTGAGGTTTTTTGCCTTATTGGACTCAGTTAATTGAGAAATTCAGTGCAAAGTTGTTTCACTCTTCATTTCGAAGCAGTAAATTCCAAATTGTCTTCTTTCTAATACTATGTCCTCTGTAGCTGGATTACACTAACCATTGTTAAGTCCTCCTTGAGGTGTGTGCTCGAATAAAACTCCTGTAGAAGATCTAAAAAGTGCCTCGCTTACGGTAGGTAGACCGAGAGGAACTTTATTGTTTCAAAAAGTTACCAAATGTCGCTGGGTCGTTGAGTTTTGGCTGCGCAAACCTGCGAGTATTACTTTAAATTTTCTACTTATTCACACTCAATAAGATAGTTGGCGATAAAATAATTGTCATTTTCTGGTAGAGGGGCTCTCTATAATTTTTTATGTCGATTGATAATTATAAATTTTTTGTCTTAATATGAGAAGGTGGTAGCGAGTTTAAAGAGGACATCTAAGATCTACAAACCCTGAGATTAACGGATTGCAATCGACGCGATAGGCAAATTTAATTAGATAATGCACCTGACTCTCCATGTTAATATTTACATGTACCGCTGACTTAAAACTATCATCAATTTAGAATATTAAGGACAAGTTGATTTATTTTTCCAAACTCTTGTTATTCTAACGTATGAGAACATTTTTAATATCTTCATATTGTCGCCATGGTTAAACTGACTTGCCAGAAACACTTCACTGTTCTTAAACTAAATTCATTATAAACGTATTTGGATTCTTCTCATGAAACTTGTAATGAAACAGACCTGACAATTTTCATTTCATTCAATTTTTATTCCATATTAAACTTGGGGTTAGATTCCGGTCTAGCAATAGGGCTCAAAAACGCACCATTTATGGTCATAATTTTCTTTGTTAAAGGAGATTGGGCTCTTTTGTTAGTAGCACAAAAACGAATATAATGGCTTAAATGACTAATATAATCTGCTAAGGTGGAGGGAAAAGTTAATAAATGCGTGTACCTTAGTTCCGACCGATTTTCAATTGCGTAGGGAAGTGAAAATTAATTTGGAAAGCGGATTGCATGTCAAGTCAAGGCGTTTTTCGTTTTCCGCCAATGGCACTGAAACTGACGTTCGGAGGGAAAATTCATTCCTTCACAAGCGAATTCTATGCGGTGGCTCATAAGTGCAAGTCAAATTAAAATCAATTTACTCAAAGCAAAACGTCATGCAACATTACAAAATAACTCAAGGAAAAACAAATAAACTCACGGCAAAATAAAATAACTAGCGGCAAAATAAAATAACTCACGGAAAAATATGACGAACTTAACGCAAAACAAATCCAACTCATGGCAAAATAAAATAACTAGCGGCAAAATAAAACAACTAGCGGCAAAATAAAATAACTAGTGGCAAACTATGATGAACTCAAGGCAAAAAAAAAATCCAACTCACGGCAAAATAAAATAACTCACGGCAAGATAAAATAACTCGCAGCAAAATGCAATAACTCGCGGCAAGATAAAATAACTCGCAGCAAAACAAAATCAACTCACGGCAAAACAAAAGTTAAAATTCATTTGTGGGTCAACACTAATTTTCGCTAGTGATGAAATTTAAGAGCTCTTGACTGTGTGATCATGATTGACAAATTCGGCTTCCTTTGCCAGATAAAAAGATGATTTTATTGTTGAATACGACATCGTCTTACTTTTTGAAATTTTTATTACTTCAAAAAGTATTCCCAAGCATCGTGTGGTTGCATTGACGAACTCAGACAAAATTTATAATGGCTACTCTTGAGGGTATCAGGAATAAAAAAATTAACTACTTCGTTATTTATTTCACAAATTATAAATCCTCGTCTGGGCTCACTGATCTTTTGTACGAGGAGTGTTTTAAGTATGGTAATTTTAGAGAAAGATGGTGGACACCAAACTCATAAATAATGGATCTGTTCCCAAAAAAACCCGATTTTGTGTTAAAATAAAAGGTGTGAAACGCTACCTTTAAAAAGAAAAAACCTCATCATCAAAGAGCAAAATTTTTAAACTTCCTTGCTTGTACCTGCTTCAAGTCTTTATCGATAAATTGAACATAACGAAAAGTNCACCGGTATGACAAACACGAACGAGTTAAATGACTATGGGACGATCTCGTAAAAAAAAAACACTCGGATATCTTACGTAAAGTATTGCTTATTTCCAACGACGATTAAGACGAGTCTGCCATCGTCCAAACTCGTTTTACCACAATTTTTAGCTCTCCAATGCTCATAAACGAGTGGCAAATGGGAACTGCGTTCCACCAGATAAAAGAATAAACAAAAAGAAATTAAACCTCTATCGGAAAAGCCATCAGCATATTGGAAAACGAGAACACCCTGGAGACGAGGTTGAAGAAAGTTGGTAATGGGAATTAGAGCGTGACCTGGCACCACTTATACAGCTCAAACTTCCGGTTTTTCACGCTTTGGTCGAAGAAAAACAATTCTTACAACGCAGTACACAATGTTTCGAGACATTTGCCACTCGTTTATGAGTGTAGGAGAACTAACATTTGTGGTAAAACGAGTTTGGACAATGATAGACTATAGGCATTAAACAGATCGACCATCTTCCGCAATTTTGGAATTTAAGAGGTGAGTGTATTATTATATCGTAATTTTGTATCGTTAGGTTGTTTTCGTTAGCTTCAATTCATGATTTCCAGTGAATTTAAGAGTGGGTCAGTAAGGGGGGTCAGTATGGGGTCAGTAGGGGGTCAGTTGACCCGGGGTCAGTGTTTTGTCCTAGCCCAGTCGAGAGACTCTTTCCAGCTAGACACAAAGGGATTTAATGCGACTTTTATTCATCGAATTCCTTCGGTTACTGTTGTGAAATTTACGGTAGAAATGTCCACATTCAAGGGACTTCCAAACAATAGGCGAAAGTGTATTTAGAGAAGAACTCAAAACTTCGCTTAACGTTTCACAAACGAACAAATTGCGCTGAAGAATTCAGATATTAGCGATTGAGAGTCACATTGATTAACATAATTGTTAACTGCAACTACCTCTCGTTTTAACTTTCTCAGTGACTTTTTGGGAAGGATTATTGAATTACAAATTGTTTCTAGGCCGCGTTTCAATCTTTTTAAAAACAAATTTAGTGCCACACAATTTATCTCGAAATCAATTATCAGTTCATTGTTTTGGGAAAAAATTAAAAAGCACCGTGTGTTTAGTTGAAAACATTTTTGGGCTTCTTGTTTTCCAAAAATTCGTGCCTATTCCTTTGAATATGTTTAATTTTGTCTATTATAAGATGATATGATAGCATGTAATAGAAAATTTCACGTTAAACCCCATCTGAAAACCTTAGGATAAAGATGTTTTTCAATCTGGGAGAGTAACATAAGATAAGATAAAATTTCATTAACTATCACCGAGGATGCGTCCTATCTGTATACTTGCTACAGTTTTCTTTGCTGAGGTTTATACTTATCGAACAAAGACAACGAAAAGGCTAATTTGAAGACATCAATTACATTATAAAAGACATTTGGCTACACGAGCAACAACATACTTCATTTTGTCATTCGCCAGGCGGTGGATG